AACATTTATCATATCATTAGTACATCATCATATCACGTGTCATAACATTCACGTATCATCTCATAGTCACGTTGTATCACTAACATATCATGGAATTATCATCTCGTAAACATATCATAGTCATATTGTTTTTGTAAACACATCACAGTCATATCATTTCATAAACAGATTCTTATCACATCGTTTCATAAATATATCCCAATCATATTATTTCATAAACATATCATAGTCATATCATTTCATAAACGTATTATAGTCATGTCATTTCATAAACAGATTCTTATCACATCGTTTCATAAATATATCCCAGTCATATTATTTCAAAAACATATCCCAGTCATATCATTTCATAAAGATATCTTAGTCATATCGTTTTATACGCACACCATAGTCACATTGTTCCGTAAACATTTCACACATATCAAGCATATATCACGTATAGAACCTCAACACTGTCTCCGTTTTCCTCTATTTCATCAAAGTAGTCCTCTCGAGCATTTCCAGCCCACATCAGGGCAACCAACCAGAAGAGGGAAGAATCCAGGGATAGAAATGCACCACCACCCAGAAGACCAGTCTTAGCAGTCGGGCATGCTGTCTCGAGATTCTGATGAACATTGCGAGTCAAGTGAATTTTCTCGGTGATTGTAGGCCAAACGAGCAAAGTTATAGTCAACCCAGTTGTGAACCTGGAAACACAGAGGTAGCTTGATTGATAACGTTTCCAAATCACTTTTAGGTAACAGTTAAGAGTAAAGGATGTGATTTGAAAAGAGAAATTACAGGGCAATGTTGAAGAAGATAGAGGAAGTGCTGCTCTTAAACATGGAACCTCGAGGAACGGGTTTTCCTTGGTAAGGATAGAACAAAGAGAGGTATCCTGCAATTGAAGAAGCAAGAAGAAACCCAACGGAGAGATATCCCAAGGCCACAGTTGGGTCCGCTGGATACTGACAGATAACAGTGCCTTTGCCTGGGATGGGAGTTCTAGATGCAGGCTGCCTAGCAATCACAACAAGAAAGAAGGGAGTTCCAAATTATATGATATATTAAATTCAAATTTCAAGTCTGTAATGAATCCAAGAAGTCCAAGAAAGAACTATTCAAATGCACAATTTGTGAACCGAAGCTTACCTTCTTGTTCTCAGCCACGACTCCATATATAAAGGATATCACACCTAAAGGTAAGAGACATTATCTTGACAGACACGACAACCAGATTTGTATCTTGACAGACTCGTAGCACGGAACAAGAAAGAAGGGAGTTCCAAATTACCAAAATACCTCTGAAGTTCCACTTAATTACAAAATTGTAATTAAAGAAAATCTGCAACCAGATTTGGTTGCAGAACCATCCCGCAGAAGAAAATCAATCGTATATTCACATCCAATCGTTGGATTGAGCTGCTATTTGGATATGTTTAACAAGACTCAAGGGTCCGTAGATCCAACGGTTAAAGTTGAAAACCAATGTCGGTAGCACCTTCATCGCTATGTCGTTTCATCGTTCAACTCTTTGCCTTTATTTGCT